ATTCATTTTAAAGAATAATATTGCGGAATTAGTTCCCATAAAACATGATAATTATATTATCAAAGCATTTCCGAAGAAATGTATTTTGTTTATATTAAAACTTTGGGATGTCATCGTAAATACAGAACATAAGCATAAACATACCTTACATTCATTTACACTAGTGATTTACATCTCCTTTAATCTCTCAGTGTAATGTAGCTTCGTATCGACACCTGTGATACAAATAAATTGAATGGGTCAGGTTGGGAAACCTGTTGAGTACATAGGGATTTCAATCCCACAATGTTATATCATGTATATATTTTAGAACTCACAAAATATACAACTTCATCTTATATAAGCAATTCTTATCCCACCCCATTGATCCTTACAACGACACGATCCATACTCTCGGATCTAAAATTAACCTCTTAACTTAATCCATACTCCCGGATCAAGTATGTGTAATCCATACTCTTGGATCAATAACTGTGCCCATTCCATACTCTAAGACTAGGGAATTGACTATGTCTCAATCCATGCTCCCAGATTAATGATAAATAACTATGTCATCTCCATACTCTCGGACTAAGGATGAATGACTAAGTCAAATCCATGCTCTCGGATCAATGACAAGTTTTAAAGTTCTACTCTCCGTGTATATCTCACTCTTACTCATAAGGAGATACTACCCAATATTCCTCTTAATTAATTTAGGTTTACTCTGTATCCTAAATCATCATATTTTATCAGATATGCTCTTAACACGTATTTCAGACAATATCAAATATTTCACACACAACATATATTTAATAATTAAATCAATACTTGTATTAACATCATGTTCATGAAAGGGACTATGCACTCACTTGTTAAAGTGATGATTCCAAACTCGGACAACGCTTCGCTTCTTGACAATATAATTTCCTTCGAGAAACCTAGTATTATTACCATTAGATTTTAGTCTAATATTTATCGCGACTATTTACGAGCGATATTGTTTTATAAGTGTTAAACAATACTTTTCAACCACTATGTATAGACAGGGGCCATACATGAAACATCAGAGGGCATAACCATTTTGTCATTATAACACTTCTGAAATCCAACAAACCTATGTGGCCCTTCAAACCAGATTCCTCATACCGCGAGTAGTTAAAAGATATTATATTAACACTTTATATATTATATTTTGTAAATATATATATATATATATATATATATATATATATATTGTTTATAAGTTCATAATAACGATAATAAATTTAAACCTAAGCTATACTTAAAGCAGGGTAAGCATAACTCACTTACCGAGAGGTTTGCTTGAAACTGGGCTTTGCGGGGCTAGAACTTTCCGAGCCAAAAAGCTCTTTTTCTCGGAGCCTTCTGGCGCTCCGGGGCTTTCCTCTTAGCACTAGGGAAGTACTAGAGCTTGGGAGGGCTTAGATAGAAGTTAGAGAGAGAAATAAATGGTTTTTGGTGTGAGAAATATGGCTGCCCTTACACCTCCTTTTATAGGCTCCAGTCCTCGGTCTACGCAGGGCGTACCTTCGGTGGTACGCTGCACGTTCTCAGTGCGCAGGGCGTACCTGCTTACGCAGCGCGTACGAAGAGACAGGTGTCTGAAGTCTGCTGGGGCGACGTGGCTGATCCGAGGCCAAGCATGTGAGAATGCGGGGCGTTCCGGCTTCCTACGCGGGGCGTTCATGAGCAGCTTCGTATTTCACACACCCGACTTCTAAATTCCATAAATTTCATGTACAAGCTCCGTTTTCGACGTTCTTTATATCTACGCTTAGGTGGAGACGTACTCTACAACTTTCGTTTAGACTCCGTCGGCAAATTTTGACATTATTTTTAAAGTTATATTTTTAACAGGTCGGGACAGGTAAAAACTGTTAAAAATTCATAACTTTGTCATCCGACGACAGTTTTCGTCTGTCTTTTTCCCGTTGAGTTCCTATTAACGAGATCTTCGATTCTCATTTAGGTTGTTTCGGCTGAAAATCGATCGATCTAAAATTCGAATTCCGGGCTGCGTACTGCTATGCTAAATCTTAGAAAAATCATAACTTCCTGATACGAAGTCAGATTTGGACGTTCTTTTTATGCACACTCTCAGTTTAACGTATACTATGACTTTCGTTTAGATCCTTAAGGCTAAAAAGCAATTTATCAAAAAATCACTTTTTACGATTCCCGGTGTCGTGTCAGTTTTGCCATAAAAAATCGACGGGTCATAACTTCTTCGTTATAACTCGGATTTTGGCGTTCTTTATATATACGTAACCCTTGTGACATATAATATAACTTGGTTAAGATTATTTACTCTAAATAATCTTCAATCAAAAAGTCATTTTTTTATGCTTATTGTCTCTAAATTGTCTAGCCCGAATCTGCGGGCGTTACACGAGGTGACCATCCTCTTGTCACGTCGTGACAAGCCCTCATGGATACACATTTCATTTTTAACTTGTCACGTCGTGACACCCAGTTTTACCCAAAAACCATGCCTTGAATCCTTGATGCCCTAAACCGATATGTTCTGGAAACTAGGTGTTACATTTTTTGTCCATATTTGACCATTTAACTTGTTTTTTTGTTCACATTCAGTCCTTATAACCGGCTACTCCAGGTTAAGCCGAAAAAATGACCTAATAGGGTAATATATTTTTCAGTTTGTACACATTTACTCATTTAGTCCTTATGACCGATTTTTTCAGATTTTGCTCACGACATCCTACATGGGACAATTATTAATGAGCTGTTCTCATACGTGGCTTGTCCTTCACTTATATCAGTAACCTAATTCACGAATCGGTCAAAAAATAATGGTGCACTATTTTCTCCAAGCAGAAGATGTCTTCGAGTGTGGTTTCATCTATCTCCACAGCAGACAACAAGATTCTTTTTGATCGTTTCCTCCTGACTCGAAATTGCACTTCTAAGACAAAAGAATTAAGGAAGATGCTAAACGAATTTGCATTTCCAAGATAAAAGAACACCTTGATAAAAAATTTCATCTATCTCAATAGCAGACAACGAGATTTTTTGTGATTGCTTCCTCCCAACTCGAATTTACATTTTCAAGACAAAAAAATCTCGTTGTCTGCTATGGAGATAGATGAAACCGAAGACGAACACATATTTTTCTTGGAGAAAAATAGGGCATCAACATTATTTGACCGATTTGTGAATTAGGTCACTGATATAAGTGTTCGTAGAATGTCGTGAACAAAATCTGAAGAAACTGATCATAAGAACTAAGTGTGTACAAAAACATTAAAGACTTACAAACATATATTTAGAGTAGTTTCTTGTTCCAAATCAAAAAGTTAAAGAATGAAGACAAAACTGCAAAAATGGTCTCTGTGGTATGCATTTTTTTGGGATTTTAGTCCAAACCACGACTTTTTTGGCTTCGTGGTCATTTTGGACTAGTTTGTATGTGAAAATAGTCCCTCCGAAAATTGAAATGACTATAATACCCTTGGGGTATTTATTTTTCTTTTTTCTTTTATTTTTTTAAATTTAATATTTATTTATTTATTTTAACAATTAAAAAATAATAGAGGACCCCCCCTCTCTCTCTCTCTCTCTCTCTCTCTCTCTCTCTCTCTCTCTCTCTCTCTCTCTCTCTCTCTCTCTCTCTCCTCCTGGAGATGAAGAAACCAAGCACAAAACCATGTGTAAATATACACCCTCGTATGATTTCTTCCCCATTTTCTTTTCTCTCTCTCTAAAAGTCCAAATCTTCCATAAATTCATCTTCTATCTGTTTCCATTTCTATTGTTTTTCTTGAATTTGGTTGGTCTCGTCTTTTTATCTAAAAATAATTAAACAATTTGGGTCTGATAATGCAACAACCCCCAAATGACAAGCCAATTTTTCTCAAGATCTTGGAGAAGATGCTTAGAAACTGCAACTATGAAGTACGTACAAACACACACGCACACACACTGTGTAAAAGCCTATTTTTTGTGATTTATGTCTCCCCTTCTAGATAGAGGTGAAGTTGGGTGATTTCTTAATCTCGAGCAATTACTGAGAGAAATAGACACACATAGAAGGATCGCTTGAGATAGAGGGAGGAAGGAGGTGATGAATGCAGGAAGCAAACTTGTTGCTGTTTCTGGTGTAGATCGATGACGGTCGCTGCTATCAGTGGTCGGTGGTTGTTGCAGTGGAGGCCAACGGTCGGAGGTCCTGATTGTGATTGTGATTGTGGTGGTCAACCATTCACATTTTCTTGATTCTTCATGATTTGGACAGAAAGAAATTAAAGGTAAAACTTTGGAACCCTAAATATGATTTTTGAAATTAGTTAACCGGTCATTTGGGGTTGAGTGGTTTTGTAGTAATCGTTGGGACCGATGTATATGTTTTAATTATCGGTTAAACGGTATGAAAAGGATGAAGAGAAGAAAGGAGTGAGAGGTAGAGGAGAGGGAGAGAGAGAGAGAGGTCGAGAGAGGAGAGAGAGAAGAGGAGAGAGAGAGAGAGAGAGAGAGAGAGAGAGAGAGAGAGAGAGAGAGAGAGAGAGAGAGAGAGAGAGAGAGATGCCTCTCTTTTTTTAATTATTAAAATAACTATTAAATTTAAAAAATTGAAAGAAAAATGAAAAATAAATACCCCAAGGGTATTACAGTCATTTCACTTTACCGAGGGACCAAAAACGCAACCAAACTATCTCAAAAGGACCACCAATCCTAAAAAGTCGTGGTTTGGACTAAAACCCCCAAAAAATATACCACATAGACCATTTTTGCAATTTTGTCAAGAATGAATGTATACAAACTTTAAAGACTAAATGTATACAAATTTATAAATACTTAATGTGGATAAAAAACAAGTTAAAATGTTAAATGAAAAAAAAAATCAATGATTAAATATATACAAATCCAAAAGTATATTAATTAACTTTATTAAGTCATTTTCTTTTAAGAAATTAAACTATTCTTCCATGTAAAAAAAATAAACTAAAAAAATAAAAACAAACATAAAGACACTTTTTAAGATGCTCCGTTCCAGACCTCCTCTACCCGGTGATCAGTGTCGTTATGAACTCCGAAGAAAATTAGAGACGAAATGCGTCTTATCCAAAATGATCTCTTCCCAACAAAGTTATCCCCTCCACCAGGTCGCCACCCTTCGCTTCCCCATTTCCGCCACCATCGCCTCCCTCGCCTTCACCCGCCACCACTTGCCACTCATATCCGCCTCCTCTCTCCACCATCCCCACTCCCAACAAGTAACTACTCCAAATTCTAACCCCACAATCACTTCAACGAACCAAGATAAAATTCTCCGAACACACAACGCAAAATCCACCTCCCTCCTCTTGTCAACAAACAAAACTTCTTCTACATCCCCAAATCCAAGTGGGTATGATTATGATGAAATGTCGAAGCTTCTGGAGTTGTCAATGGCTAAAAAAAGGACCCCTCAATTTCCAGGCTCAATCTATGTCCAATCTCCGGACGACGTCGATGTAAACTCTTCTTTACCTGAAATCAAAGAAGTGTTTAATGGAGAAAACGATGATTACAATTATGAAGTGATTTTGAGGGCACTTGAGATTAGGAGGGAAGTGACGTTAGAAATTTTCAAGGAAGCTATGAGAAAAGGGAAATTTGGGATCACTTATTCTACGAATTTGGCTTCAAGATTGTTCCCTGAGTTCATTGACTACGTTATGATCCAAGCCGCCTCAATGAAACAGTTGCCTGAATATGCTAATTCATCCTTTAATGTTCGTGCCAAAGCTTGCTTAGAGACCTCCAATGTCGTCCCTCTAATAAGGTAAAGCATTAAAACAACAAGTATTTGACTATTCTATGACATAGGCATCAATTATATACAAATTTCAATGCTCAAGCTCTATGTTTAGGGTCTTCCATTCTGCCATATTAATATTAGTGTTTGGTTCCCTTTTAACTAGTAGGATGGTTAGTTTTGTGTGGGTGTATATAATTCCCTCTTTAACAAATTAACATTAAGATCAACTTGATGTTCCTAAATTACCCTACTTCACTTGTGGGCTCTGTATTCATATTCCAGCCACCTTGCGGGTCTATGTGTACATCATTTACATGATGCGACATAGTGTGGGCCAACTCAGGGATTTTGGAAGAATAACCTTTTTGCATAAATAGTTAGGCCCTGAATATGCTTAAATTTGGTTGAGTACCAAAAAAGACTCACCCTTTAAATTACCCTTAAAATTTTGCATTATCATACAAGTCCCATATCATGTAAAGATAGACCAATGTAATTCCAAATTGAAAAACTGAAAAAGCTTACACCTTGAGTGATCTTTACTCTTTTAGGTGGCTAAAACATAACGGATTATCATATCCCCAAATCGGGAAGCTAATTTGCAGTGCAAGAGGAAATATGGAATCGATTAGGAGTACATCCGAGTGGCTCAAGTCAATTCATGTGGATGGGAGATTTATTGGGGTTGCATTACTTAGAGCAGGAAAGAATATATTGGAGAGGGACATTGAAGAGTTGGATGAGATAGTTTGTTACTTGGAAATGAATGGAGTTAGAAGGGAGTGGATGGGTTATGTGATTAGTAGGTGTCCAGAACTTTTGTCTTTTAGCATGGAAGAACTCAAGATTCGAAAAGATTTTTATTTCGATATGGGTATGAATGAGAGAGATTTCGGGACAATGGTTTTTGATTTCCCCAAAGTTCTTGGATTCTATTCTCTTGAGGAAATGAACCAAAAGGTATGTGAAGTTTGTACCTTTTTAAAGGGATAAATGCAAGCTATTATTAATATGTTTACTTATAGATAGGATTTTAAAAAGTTTAATGTCTCAATAAGAAAAAAAATTGAAAGTACGATGCTATAGTTGTTAGATTTTTCAAAGTGCAATGCTTTAAGAAGAAAAAAAATAAAAGTATAATGTTGTAATAGAAAGAAGTGAAAGTGAGATGTTATAATACACAAATAAATGAAAGTACGTTGCTGTTTCTTACATTTAGCCCTTTTTTAAATCATGTGCTTATTTCACTATCATAAACAGGACTTATTTATAAAGTAAAAGATGGATATGAAAGCTTTTGTCTTGTTCATACTTCATACTAAGGGATGTTTGGATCATGTAGAGTGTTTGACGAAATTTGATTATGATTATGATTTTCTGATCATGTAGGGTCAAATTAATCAGATTTTGAGAAGCAGGTAACAATTTATATAAATAAAACTTGCTATTGAGATAAGTATAAATTTAAGGGTTAAATGCAAAAACTAGCAATTTACTTCCATTAATTTGTTTATAATAGCATCCTACTTTCATTTCTTTTTTATTATGGCAGTGTACCTCAAAACTTTACCCAATTATAGCAATATCATCTAAATAGAAAGCAATTTTCACTGCTATAACTGGGTAGATTTCAAAGTAGAAGTAGTGTCCTAATAAGAAAATAATTAGTGTTTACTTTTCAAAATACATGTCCTTAAGAAGAAAATAATTGAAAGTACAATGTTGTAATAGAATGGAGGGAAAGTAGGATGCTATAAAAAAAATGAAAGTTTGTTGCTATTCTTGCATTCCGTCCATCTCCTCCTAACTATCCTATTCCTAGCAGTAATCACATGAGTTATCCAACTTGTTATGATTCTTCAAGTCACAATAATCACTTTGAACATGCACATCGAAACACCCCCTAAGATTCTTCTTTCTATAGGGCTTATGTTACTTTCGTTTCTTCCTATTATAACATTGCACTTTGAAAGTTTTTCCCAATCATAGAGATATCATCCACATACAAATCAATCTTCACTGCTATTTTCAAAGTATAGTGTCTGGTTAAGAAAAAAATTGGTATATATTACTTGCCAAAATTTTCAAATTGCAGAGTTAATGAGGAAAAAAAATGAAAAATAGCTATAACTACACAAATAAATTGCTACTTTTTTTGCATTAAGTCCCCTATTCATCCAAACAAACAACCCCTAAGATTCTTCTTTTTATATGGTTTATATTACTAGCCAAATTTTCTTGAAACTTGCAAAGATTATTAAAGTCCATTTGTTTGTTTTTTTCAGGTTGCATATCTGAAGGAGTTTGGGCTTGGTAATGAAGATGTGGGGAGATTAGTAGCATTTAGGCCACAATTAATGGGATGTAGCATTGAAGAAAGATGGAAGCCTCTTGTTAAGTACTTTTATTATCTTGGGATTTCTCGAGATGGTATGAGGAGAATTCTTACTGTAAAACCCATGGTCTTTTGTTTTGATATGGACACCAATCTTGTTCAAAAGGTATGCATGCTCTTTTATAACTCTTAATATTCTTTTTTTTTTAATTGACGATTGACCCCCAATTTATGGATTTAGACAGTTAACTATTTTCTATAGTGGTTAAACCATTATACTATTCTTGAACCTTAAAAAAGACCATATTCACTGTTGCCCTGTTTTGATAAAACTACAGAATCGTTTTTCATTGAACTATTTACTTTTATCGATTTAGCCATGAAACTATTTTTTATAATAATCATATAAAATTAATAGTTTAGTTGCTCAACTGTTAATATGGTAAAAGTAAGTTGCACTTTGACCTTTTTCAAAAACGTATACTGCTTTAATCACTATAGAAGATAGTTTAGTGGCTAAATCGATAACATGGTGAAAGTACGTTGTGCTTTGCTTACTATATATAATTATTATAAGAGCCTTTGTTCCTTTTTAGATAAAAGAAGTTAACGCGAAGAAATTTTAATTTGGTAAGCCATATATGAGTGTTTCTATATGATTTAATGTAGAAAGAAGGATTTAATAGAGAAAGTCATTACATTGAGGCTTTCCCCATTAAGTTTTCCCAAGTATTCCTTTATTTTCTCAAATATTTTATAAACATGACAACACTTGATGGAAAGAAAAAAGAAGCAAGACCTAACCTAATACAATTTTTTCGAGATCAATTAATCTTTACTCTACTAGTTGTTGAGTTAAGTTGTATGTAGGTTAAAACACTTTATATGTAGTCGCTTTGTTAATTTGAAGTCTTGTTGTTTGATATTCACAATAGTATATAATCTTTTAAATTGATTTGAAGGTACAATTCTTCCGTGACATTGGCGTTGAAGAAAAGGGAATTGCTAGTATGCTTGTCAAGTTTCCTTCATTACTAACTTACAGTCTCTACAAGAAATTACGGCCCGTGGTATGCATTTTTTATTTTATTTTCATAGATATCTAAGGTGTTATTTCATTTTGACTTAATGAAAGCATGACTTAATCTGGGTAATTCCTTTTGAATTAATACATAAAGGAAGCCCTAATTTGACTAAAAATATTGCAGGTGATATTTTTATTGACAAAAGCGGGAGTTTCTCAAACTAACATTGGAAAGGTGATAGGTTTGGGGCCTGAGCTTTTAGGGTGCAGCATATCAAAGAAATTGGAGCCTAATGTGAAATATTTTTTGTCACTTGGTATAGACCTTAAGACATTGGGTGAAATGATTGCTGATTTCCCCATGCTTCTTCGCTACAATATTGATATTCTTCGCCCTAAATATCGGTTTCTAAGAAGAACAATGGTCCGACCTCTAAACGATCTCATAGAGTTTCCACGGTATCAAATCAATACTATCTTTTTTTTTTTTTCAAATTTCAAATCGTATTATGCATTTCGGAAAGGGCTCCGCTCTCGATCTCTCATCTGTATAAAAGACGTAAATGCCCTCCGCATCTTCATCATCGAAAATAGTCCTAGAAAACCTTGCCTGGTCCCATCCAGTTCAAGTCTTATTTTAGATGATGAAGATTAGGAGGGCATTTATGTCTTTGCACATACGAGAGAAAGAGAGTGAAGTCCTTTTCCACCTTTTTAGATGGGACAAATTTGTGTCCCATTAATATTATTAAATCCTAGTCCTTGTCCAATGCAGATTTAAATACAGTACAACTTGTTATGTCATGTCTTGTACTGCGTAACAAATGATGATTAGTAATTAATTGTGTGTGTGTGCAGTTTCTTTAGCTATTCTCTCGAAGATCGGATTATACCTCGGCACAAGATTCTTGTGGATAATCGTGTAAATTTCAAGCTTCGTTACATGCTCTCAACCACAGATGATGAATTCCATCAAAGAGTAGAGGCTGCGGTTCAAAGGCGTGACAGGTTTGAATCCGGAATCTCAGACGACATACAATTAGATTCTCCGAGAGACAACGCTTTGGATGATGAATTCTCAATCCTTAGAGATTGAATTTAGTTAACAGTTGATCCTTGATGGATAGATATTTGTATATAGTATGGTTTGTAAGGTACAAATCACTAGAGCCATGAAAATGATATCATTTGTAATCTAATTAGTAAAAACATCATTTTCTGCCCTTCAAAGAAAACAAATTTACAACTTTGATCTAATTAGTATCTGTATCCGTTCAGGAATTATTTTGCTTGCTATGGGGACAATTATATATGGCCTGGGTGGTGTACTAAAACTCTAAAATGGTTTCTTGTTTTTGGAAAAAAAAAAAAAAAACAAAACTGAATTTTTGGGTTAAAATGAACTGAATCCTAGTACTGTTAGTTTTCTTAATTCCATTCGGCTGTGTCGTTAAAAATTTCTAGAATGATAGTATTTTGAAAAGCAGCAAATATATTTTTTTTTTCATATTTTCATGGATTTTGCCATTTTGGTTTCATTAAATCCATGTACCTGTTTTGTATTGAAAAACCGGAAATTAATTCAATTGAAGCTAAAAATCAAACAAAACGGAATTAGACACCATTTTTTTTTCGTTCGTATCAAGGCAAAAACAAGCCCAGGTGGATGCATTAAGCATCTATGATTACTATTTTGATAAGCATGATCTAACTTGTAACTGGCTTGATGTGGGGACATTGTGGTTTGTGATTTACCTTCTGCATGTTGACGTGGACGTTAATGATGACATTTACGGATATACCCTTTATTGTGATCTAAACTTTGAAGAAAGGAAAACAAGAAATGGAAAACAAGTGTTACATACCACAACTTCTACTTAAAATATCCACATCTTGTAGAAGTTGAAGATCAACTAGCAACCGAGTGTTTGTGTCACAAAATATGTTGAAAAAGGGTCACGAATAAAACTAAAAAATATACATGTTTTTTGGTCCTTGAAAATGGAAGAAAACAGTGTCTCAACTTCCACGAACCAAATTTGTTGGCTCGCTCAGAACGTACTTTGGCAACTCGTACTTTGCACCTGTGAAAGGGGGAAAATGTAAATAAATATCTTAGATACATGGGGTTGAAAAAAATGTAAATATTCTAAAAACAATGGGTTGAGGAATTAAAGATCCTAATTACAAGATTGAGAAACTTGACAGCCAAAAATGTAAATATTTTAAATACAAGATTTTGAGGAACTTCAAAGGTAAAAATGTATTTTGAACAAAAGAAGTTGATGTACTTAATTGGTAAAAAGCAAAAAAAAGAATACATACTCTAAATACAAGGGGTTGGACAACTTGAAAGGTTAAAAGTATTCCAAATACAAGGGATTAATGAACATAAAAGGTAAAAAAATAATAATAATAATAAGTGTAAATCTTCCAAACACAAGGAGTTGAGAAACTTGAAAGGTAAAAATGTGTAAATATTCTAAATACAAGGGTTTGGGCAATCTAAAGTCCTAAAGGTAAAGAGTATAGATATTTTTAATAAAATGAAAAGGAAAAATAAAAATGATTGTTCTAAGGGATAATGACTGAAAAGGGTAATCTATTATTTGTTTTGTACATATTTTGTCACTGACTTATTTTTTTTGTCTATATTTTCTCATTGAACTTGTTAAACCGTTTAAAAAACATCCTTATAACCTGTAATAGTAGGTTTAGCCGGTTTCCGGCATATTTGACTGCTCCGGCAAAGCTCCGGTCATATTCTCCGGTGAACATGATTTTCCTGCCGAACTCAAGAACTCGAGTTTGTTCTCTCCTTATGTCTCTTTGTTAGATCTAAACAAATTTTGAACATAAACCCATGTGGGTGTTCGATTTTGAAACTGAAGAACACAAACCCGAAAATCAATTCTTCATCTTCATCTTCTTGTGTTCAAACTCAAGAACACACATCACAATTTCTCACTCAAAAAACGATTTTTGAAATGTGTGTGTATGTTAGATCAGAACACGAACCAATATCTTCAAAAATCGAACATGAAATTGCTTCTGGGGTATTAACACAAATCATATATATTCCAGATTCAAGTTCATCTTCAAACTCAATTTTTGGGTTTGAAAACCCTAACTCAAGTTCATCTTTAAGCTCGTCTGACCTTCAAGAACTCTTCAGATCTTCAAGCTCGATTTTGAGAAAACCTCCACATGTGAGTCTGTTCATCTTCAAGGAACCTAAAACACACAAACTCAATTTCTTCTTTGTTCTTGGAAATCGATTTCTGGGTTTGAAAACCCTAACTCGACTTAGGGTTGTTCTTGAGTTTGATTTTTCGTCTTTATGTACTGGAATACCAAACCAATCCTCGAGTTTGTAAGCTTCAAACAAATCGAAGGTGTGTGTATGTGTGCTCATCACGTGTGTGTATTCATCTTCATATGTGTTCGATTTCTGAAAAAAATAACTACCCCAAGTCTGAGTTTGTGAGCATAATGTGGAAAGAATTCGAATTGTAGATGGATTCTTCTAAAATAAACTCGAAATCTAGAGTTTTTTGGATGAATTTGTTCATATGTGTTTCAGATCTTTATCTAGTTCATCAGGGTTGTTCATCGTGTTCTTGAGAGATTCTTCATATTTGAGTGTGTGTGTTTGTTCAGAACACGAACCAGATCTGGATGTGTGTATGATTTCGTTTTTTGACAGATTTTCCATAAATGATTTATCAGATTTGATAAATGATTTATCAGATTCTTCATATTTGAGTGTGTGTATATGTGGGTTAGATCAGAACACGATCCTAGGCTCAAGAAATTGTTTCAGGTTTGCTTAAGAAGACTATGGCCAGAGGTTGAAGACGATGAACAGTGATCTGATGGAAAATCATGAATGTCGGAGTTTTTGAGGTCGTCGGAAAAATCAGGAACGCCGGAGAAGATGACCGGAGCTGTCAAATACGCCGCAAACAGGCTAAACCTCCGATAGCAGGTCAAAAGGATGTTTTTTGAACAGTTCAACAAGTTCAATGGGAAAATGTGGACAAAAAAAAAACTCAGTGACTTAATGTGTACAAATCAAAGAATATGTTACCCTTTTAAGTCATTATCCCTTGTTCTAAATACGGAACCTGAAGGTCAAAAAAGTGTAAATTCTAAATACCAATACCCCCGATTAATCAAGAAAGGGCAAAAGGGTAAAATCAGTATTTTATTCCTTTTGTTTATGGAGAGACTAGCCTCTCTAGCTAAGTCTTGAGCAATCAAAGATGTGATTCTGTTTTGATTTTCATTGTTTGCGTCTTTATTTAAGCAAGTTCTAACAAGGTCATAGCAATTGGTATCTAGAACCGATGAAAAAAAAAGTTGCATTAAAATATGGGTTAAATAAAACCAGGAAAAGTTACAATGGTAAAACCATAAAATTTAAAGAGAATATCCCATATTCTAAATACGGAAATTAATTAGAAAAAAGTGATTTAAAAAAAAAAAAAAAAAAAGTACAAGAGACAAGAGTTAAGGGACTTTATAGGTAAATGAAGGAATACCTCTTTCATCATAACATATGGTCAGATCAGGCTTTTGAACGATAATGCCTGCACTATCCACTATCGTTTGTGCCAGGGATAAATCAGCTTCTGCAGCAGCTCGAAGGGCGTCCCAAATCTCTGACAATTAATCATGTTATTAACTTATCCATATCCCTTTTTACATCATCCACAATATAAATATAATACCTTTTTGGTGGAGATTTTTCATGAAAAACTTCAAATAATAAATTCCAGCTTTTTCAATTTGCTTATTTATAAGGCCCTGTCTATTTACAATTTGTTGAAAACCTACAAGACTTACCAAATCCAAGCTTTTGGCAAGAGCTTGTTGATTAACAAGTTCACTGAAATTCTTTGGTTTGAAAAAAATTCTTCCAATAGATTTTTCAATTTTCAAGAGCTTGTTAATTATTTTATGTAATGACTAAGACAGTATACTATAAGAAACAACCATTTATTTTGGCAAAGAACAAAATACACAAAATTATTTTCTTTATGATTATTATGGTACTATTTCAATAAAACATAATAATTCACCAGCTAAAACAGTAAAATGCTGAAAATAGTAAAAAAGATTTAATCATCATAGAAAATAATTAGTGGTGTTAAATGGATAAAATTGTGAAAGTAGGTTGTGTTTTTTTGTAATTCTCCAGTAAAGATACCACATCTAAAATGTATACATGATCAAAGAGTCGAGAAAACGTGTATCCCATCATTAAAATAACTTCTATTTTGGCATACGAAAACAGTCTAAATTTAAACCTGAAAAAAGATGATTCTTTAGACTTGTTTACAGAAAGATCTGTCCTCTAGGCACCAAATTTATTGCAAAGGAGCAATTTCCTTTTGACTTAATGTAGACATGACTTAATTGATGTAAGCTATATGTAAATGTTTTTTTTTTTTTTTTTTCTTTTCTTAATACAAAAACATGGACTTGATAAAGAAAGTCAGGGATACGAGGTTTTCCTAAAGTCCTAACATTTTACAAATTTGTGTTCATTTATTAATTTCCCAATACTGCGTCTATTTGAGAACTGCGTTTATTTTCTCAAATATTTTTAAACGATCATTTATCCACACTACAATTAATAGATAAAAATAAACAGGGTGTATACAGTAAGTAGAAAAAAGAAAAAAGATAACCTTTTCGGCCACCATAATGTGGAGCGGTATCCCAGAACTCATCACGCATCCGCTTCAGCTGCTCCCCTGTTATTGGTTCAGTATGCTTCCATGGCTTCAGTTTAATTATCTTCTTAACAGCTTCTGAAACAATGAAAGATGAAAAGTGTTTGACTATTATTCAAATATGCAACCAATATTTCTATAATGACAAAATAATCAAATGTTGTAAACCAATGATACGTAATGATAACAATGCAAATTTAACCATAAACTTTGCCTAATAAAGGATTGATACAATTTAAAAACATAAGGAAATAGGGGCTTAAGAACCTAGCACAAATAGAACTTAGAATAACCAAAACTTCATCATAATCTGGCATTGTGACAGAATCTTCAATGGCAAATTAACCATTTGGTTCAAAATTTTCAAAAGAAAACAAGAAATTTTTTAAAAGCCCAAGCCAATAATTCAAAAAAATAATCATATAGATCAGTAGCTAAACTAAGAACATTCGTTAGCCACACAAAAAGACTCAAATATCAATCCGATCAAATTAAGCCATTTCAACACCCCATTAAGTCAAAGCACGACATGAATGGCTACAAAATCGATTTCAATTAATAACGTAACACCTATATCACGGTTACCAATCATTTTCACAGAAAAAAGCATCTTTGAAAAAATCAAAATAATTTCAGAAAACCGAATAGGATCCTGGAAATCGGAGAGTTTACCGTCGCCGTTGGCACTCGTCGATCCGGAACAACCCATGATGACAGCTCCGGCGATCCGTCCTGGTAAATATGACCGGTGATCGAAGTTATTTGAAACGGGGTTTGCTTGTAAACAACCCACAAAGTTCTTCAAACGAATATCGAATTTTTTATTAGAAAATCTGTGTTTCGTGAGGAATAATGAGGTAATGATTGCTGTAAACAGCAGCGCGGGAGGGAAGGGAGGGGCAGATGGGAGTCCACTTTGTTTCCCCGCATTGAAATTCCAACTGGAGTTGTTGCTTTATCAGAATAAATAAAATACAATTGGAATAATAAATATTAATATATTATATTTAATAAATTAAGAGGTTCCTGCCTTATGCAATTGCACAAATTACAAAATAAAATGTAGAGTAAAGCACATAATTAATTATATGATTTAATATTTATTTTTCAAATAAACTAAATTATAATTTTTTATCAGAATACTGTTTAAAAAATGGTTTGTTAGGATAATTAATTTTTGTTTTGTTTTACACATGTATGCAACAAATTTATTGGAGTGTTCACATATTACCATTATAATCGGTTGTAACAAGTTACAACTTTCGTGAGATATACGTGACAAAGATAATTACCAAGGGTAATGAACTATTGGTTTTATTCATATTTAGGCAATTTTTTTTGTTCACATTCGACCATCTAATTTATTAAAGTTCATATAATACCATATAATATCATTATTTCAGAAATTTAAATTGGTCACCAACTATTACCCTTAATATACTAATACCAACACAAAAAAATCTTAATATACATCCAATAAGAAAACACAATCAACCAACTAGTACATAGTAGTATATAAAATCAATCATCTAAAATATGCTAGTGTAACTTTATGATTTTAACTATGTAAGCATTAGGTCTAAAAAGTTTACGATTTTAAAGGAAATACCTTAGTGTACTTAGAACAATGTTTTAAAAACTATTTTTCCGGTTCGAACGTTGATGTGTACAAATTATACCTATCTAGCTTTAAATTTATAAACCTAACTTTTTGTTTACTAATGCACCTATAAGCAGTGTACCCAGTCAGTTTATAGTATAATAAGTAGTAAGTTGGGTATCGAACTCAGAGAATAGATTTAGCTAATAATTTAACTACTAAAAATTAATCTAAAAACAATTAACTAAAGTGAGGGGTTTTTATCTGATTTTGCAAGTTCATATTAACTTAAAACTAAACAAACACTTAACTAAAAGCGAATGTTATCAAGATATTAAAAACACTTTCGTTTAGTCTCGAATCCACCTTCTTATGGTTAGTTCTTATTTATGGATTAATAAAGTTGTTTACCAAATTATATATAATTAGCAGTCTTGATCCGATCTACTAATATTTTTACAAATTCATGAACTACTATGTAATGATCATACACAAGCAAACATATAATTGATTATTAATGATGATTGAGCTATGTAAGATATATCTAAGATAATTGTCTATGATCAAGACAATTAATTAAACACAATTATGATCAAATTATATTCTCCAACATAGCTAAAGTTGTTACCTTTATCACTTAATCTAAGATGTCATTAATCCTAGCTCTAGCAATTTAATGATCATAAACTACTAGGTAAACAAGTTCATGTAATTCAAATGGTCAGTAAACTACACTTAACTTGAATCAAAGCAACAAAGATGTAAACTTTAACATGCTAGGTAATGATAATCAAACACATGCATAAACCAAATGCATATAATCCATAAAATAAGAAACTAACTCATAGTTTTAGGTTTCATCTAACTAAATGAAAGTCTACTAAATTAGCTACTCATGACAGAAGGTAAACACACTAAATCATAAGAATTCAACATGATTGAATTAATGAAAACTGAATGCGATGTATGATCTTCTAATCTTCAATCTCGAATCGTTCTCTCTTCCAAGGGTTGTTTTTTGCTCTCCTCTGAATTTTGAATTCGACTATAACTCCAGGAAATTAGATCCAACAACCTTAACTCGAATGTGTAAAGGAGTATTTATAGTTTCCTAAAATCGTATCTTACGTCGTGAGAATTAGGATCTCACATCATGAGTTCAGTATAAATCCGTGTCTGACAAGGAAACTGCATTCCGCGTATACATCTTCTAGAATGATCAAGCTCACATCGTGAGTTTTGTCTTTACACGAACGTCGCAGATTTTCTTACAAACACGACATGTTACTCTATTGCCACGCCGTAGGAAGTGTCTTTGCTTGATTTTTCTTCCTTTTTAAGTTCCATTAAGCTCCCGTTTAAGCTCCAGTCCTTCCAAGCTCCAATATTTGCCACTTCTGGTCCTTTTTCTTCAATAATGTCCTTTTTAGCTACAAAATAGAATTTAAACATTATAAGTACCAAATATCTTCATTATTAACTAAAATGTAGCATAAATGTATTAGAATAATTTTGTACGACACTCATTTTTGCAACCTTCCGAATCTATCCTCAGAAATCTTTCTTAACTTTAAGGTATTTTTGGTTAAACATCCCAAGCATACATATGTTCTAGAAAGAATTACAACTTTGATACCACATCGGAGCTCCTTGAATTCATCTCTTCTTTGATATTTGCTCTTTGATTTCTTTGAATTCAACCCCTTTTTGTTTGACTTTTGGTATTAACTTTTGATTCTTCATAATTTTGATCCTTTTATCTTCATACTTTGTTAGCTCCAAAATTCTTTCAACTTTTGTAACTTTCTCTCTCTTTATATATATATATATATATATATATATATATATATATATATATATATATTATATATATATATATATATATATATATATATATAAACTTTTTTCGCTCAATCCTACATGTTTAAGCAAGAGAGCTTAACTTCAAGCTTTATTGGTTAGAGATATTAGTCTAAGTGCAATAACTACATAAGCTCTCCTGGATGGATTTCAGGTACACGCTGCAAAACTCTTTACATCGTACAAACAACTAGATTACCTTTCATATCTCATGAATTTTCACTAGAACTAGGAAGCCACACATATACAATAACATATATTGGCTCAATTAAACATTTAAGCTCGCATTGGATCGTCCCATGCAAAACTAGCAACTTAAGTTTTTTAATTATCACTAGATTTTAAGTTAAACCATTTTAAAATTTTCATAAATTTTTAAAGTTTCCTAATCTAGAAAAATTTCAATTTGTAAACTTAAATTCATTTTTCAACCCCCTACCCCACACTTATTTCATACAATGCACTCATTGTATCCATAAAACTATAAAAAAAATAAAAAGGGAGAAAAAGGAACATGCCTATGTTGGATCGATCAGCGATCATTTTCATCGATGACATTCTGGTATATTCGAAGACTAGGGAATAGCATGAGGAGCATTTACGAGAGGTTCTTTGTGACAACCTGTAAATTTCTATCTTGAAAAGTCAATCCAATCAACCAAAAGTCAGACTTAATTCTATTGCCTTTTAGCATTGTTAAGGGTTATTCTAATGAGTTCTAAGCCTAGTACACTTAAGGATTGAGTGTTTTGAAGTATTATCTCGAGATCAGAACGCTGCATCCGAACCAGAAAATCCAACACTTGAGGTTCACGGCCATAAACCATGTTCACGACCGTGAACACTCTTCTAGCTGTGAACCCTTAGCATATATAGGAGTTTTTGCCATTTTTCCTTCACTTCTTCTCCTCTTGGACGTGAACTACCATTTCTCTCTCAAGTATCATCAAGTGAAAGCTCTCATTTCACTCCCAAAACATAAGCATCTCATCCTTTACTTGTTCATGCTTAACAACCCCTTTGTTCTAGCCTTGATTCATCACCTTTCATCACCATCTTCAAGATCTTCAAGATATTGAAGGGTTTACGGCCGTAAACCCTTCATGAGGGCCGTAAACCCTTCAAAGGATCTTGGGCCGTGAACCATTGTAAGACCGTGAGCCCTCCCATGGCCGTGAACCCTTCAACCATGGCCGTAAACCCTTCTTAAGGCCAAGCTTGGGCTGTAAACACTTCAAGCATCCTTGGCCGTGAACACTTCTTAGCCGTAAACACTTCCTAGTGTGGCCGTGAACTCCCTTCAATCAATCACATGTGATTATAATACTTTGTTGCAAGTGTTTCCTAGTCCCTAAGGTTGTTTCCCTTACATGTTAGTTGTTATATACACTAATTATATACATATATGTATCAATATATGTCAATTAGGACTCGTTTGTGCCTCGGGACTTCATTCGTGGAACTTCTCATCCTTACTCGAATCTTCAATTGAATCACCCACATAAGGTGAGTTCATACCCCTATAATCAATCTTTTAAATTTTTTTAAAGCTTTTAAGGGGGGGGGGGGGAATACAAGTTGAACACAATGATATTGTGTAAATGTTTATCTGTGATAACCATCACATTAAAGGATTTCTTATGCTCTTATAAGTGATCAAATCAATTCAAAAACTCTTTTAAGTTATGTGACTTTGTTGTTTATAAAACTCTGTTTTTAAAGTACAAGCATAACTCAGTAGAAAATCGAGTCTTTTCTACAAATCAGGGACAGTACAAAACAAACATACTAGTAAACTATAATAGGTATAGTTTAGGGGTTCAGAACATACTATAACTAGAACAGGAATGAACATACAATAACAAGAACAGAAAGGAATATACTATAACAAGAACAGAAGGAACATACGATAAGAAGAACAAGATAACAATAATGTGAAACCACTACTTCACGACGTAGCAATATACTTGTTATGCCGCGTTTTGTAACCAGAGTCTCCTAGAGGGAGAGCGGACATCAGGACTGACAATCCCGCATCCCGACTATTCGCTATAGTTTGGCCGGCAGGCCAAGGAGTGACAAATGTCACATCAGTTTCGGCGCCAGTAGGTCGTCGTGTTAAACACTCGTCAATCAATATGGTTATAACCACCTCACAATTTAACCTTAATTAACAAACTGGTTTTAAGGTAGTTAGTGTTCAGTACTTAGTTTATACAACATTATTGTACACTTTCATTTTCCCATTACATTCATATAGTGATCGTCTCACATAAAAGGTAATGCAAACTATTTTCTAGCAAAGATAGTCTTAAACTTGGGAAAACTTACATCATTACAAAATACAAACAAAACAGTCAAGTCTTAGTGCATTCAGCTAGAAGGGGGCCTATAATGCTAACTTTATGATTCCTTGGTAGATACATCAGGGATATATATTAATCAGGTCCGGCAGACAGTAGAATGT